TCATGAAAATTATTAAGATATATTAATTAATACGCCTTTTCTTTTTAAATTATTATTGGGCTGCAATTTTCAAATTTCAGATCTATGAATTTCCACTGGCGTCCATTTGTCTGTTGTTTGTCCTTCCTTAATCTCGAAAACGGAATTACATAGATGAAAGTCTAGACCAGATATGGAAGGCCTGAGGAAGGAGGCCCCGATTAAGTGTATACAAACTTCCGGTATGGACAGGAAATCACGTGATCTTAATTAAAACATTTTATTCAGAACGAAGTTAGACGATCGGCATCACTCTGTTGTTATCAGAAAAGTATGGTGTACAGGGGCAAGACACTATTGAAATCGAGAGCATATATTTTAAATTAAATAAATTAAAAATATTAAAAAGCAGCCCAGCATTGTGACGATGCTACAATAATTTTTTCTCGTTTATTATTATTTCATTATGATTAAAATCTATTAATAGGATTTATTATACTGTATTGATGTAACCTGTGAGTGACAAATACAGAATAGCTAGTTTATTTCGTTTAAATAAAAATTAACAGGTAAAAATAAAATTTTATTTAAACTAACAGACTGCTATTTCCATTTTGTCATCTAGAAGTATAAGTTCTATTAATAAATTATAGTCATAATAAACTAGTAGTAATAAATAATAAATTATTAACATTTAAATTGTAAAATTATTATATTCGTCAATCAATTTTATTTTGAAAATGTTTTATACTTTAAAGCCGGGAGGGAAAATCTTGAAAATTCAACAGTTCATCTCATTTTAAAATATTTTATATTTAAATTACCTAATTAAGTAGGTTATAAAATATTCATAATAATTTAATTTAAAATATTTTAGATATTTTAAATAAATACAATTAATGTAAATATTAAATAATTTTAACTACTGTTTTATATCGATTATATATTATTAAAACATTTAATAAAAAATTTCTTTTAAATATTCGAAAACTATGTTATTAAATTTTCAATGGAAAATAACTATAAAATAGAAAAATTCTGGAATATTTGGTTTTATTAGCGTACAAAGTCAAAGGATTTAAAATTTTGCAACTGAAACGAGCTACATTCAGCTATAAGCTAGGATCATTGAATACTTATGAACGATTTGCATGAAGACTGTTTACAAGTCACTATCGCGTTGTGATTTATAACGTCTATATTCAGTAGAATATCACTGAAAATACACTACATAATTGAACGAAACGATCTAAGTTATTTCACTACCGAGTTTATTTTACAACAAATTTTATATTTATCTACAGTATATAACAGATTATAATACTGAAGGTTATTAACTTTAAACAGCTTTCGTTACTATCACTTATAAGTAAATAGAGTAGCTTAGAAGCAATTTATACGTATCTCTAAACTAATTTGTAAGTCTACAAGCTAAAATATTTTTCAAAAAAATGTCTAAATAGAATGAAAATAAATGATTTTTAATTCTACTGTACTTTTGTATTAATTATTATTAAAATTAGTAAACAAATTTCTATCTTCATTAATTTTATAAATAGAATTTCTTTACACTTTTAAGGATTGTTAAATCGTTTGATTTGATTAATTAGAAATTTTACTATAATCAACTAGGCTTGAATATTGAATTCTTAAGTACCTTTATCTCTTAGTGTTTACGGAAAGAATTGTCTATTGATTAGATTTAAGATGAAATGAAAATCAGTCTAATAAACCAATCGGTATTGTTCCATTAAAATGAACAATGATATTGTAGCAGAGCGAGCACGGATCTGTGGATTAAACTAACTGGTTAGTTGCGAGAGACGGATATACTAGATTGAATTGATGGTCCTCGGTTGAAAGTGAAGCAATAAACTTCCAAAAAAACAAAAATGAATAGCCTCAATTGTTTCTTCTTTGCTGTCATTTAGTTTTAAAAAATTGCAAAGAAATACTATCTTTTACTTTCTAGTACGTTTAAATTATGACTATAATATCATTTTGTTGCTATAATTAATATATCTTATATACTATTCAATCAGTTCAATAAAATAATAGCATTTGTTATCATTTTTTATTTAAAAATGTGCTTAAAATCATTAATATCTAGATTAAAAAATGTTTTCAACTGTAAAAAACTTACATTTAAATGTTATTTATAATAATTTATTATTAAAATTATAGGAAATGACTCTTATTTACCGATTATTTTTAAATTCATATTATTACTAGAAAAGTAATAAAATTTTGAAAAGAATGCATACACTTTTTAATATTGAGAAACATGAAATAATCAATACTCCAATATTTTTTCGTGATACTATAAAATTACGTGCAAGAAAAATTTTGTTAATGCCATTGCAGAAAGATTTAAACTTTATAAAGTATTGAGTCATTAAAAAAGTAATTTTTGTTTTTTAAGGTAAATGATATGCTTATTTAGTCTAAATTGGACTATCAAACTGAAATATGTGAAATTAAGATTTTTGCATTAATAAGGATCAAGAACTTTTAGAATAATTACTTTGTTTATATTAAAATGTATTAAAAAATTTTAAGTTTTGAAGCAAAAAGAGATGCTTAAAAGCATTATTCTTGAACAAGTAGGAGTCCAAACTCCCATTAAAAAGAATATATTTGATTACTATAATTCAGTTAAGAATCTTCTTGAGTATTTAAAAAATATCACTGATAATTATCATTAAATCTGGAATTTTTAATTAAGTTCATTTATATATTGTAAAAATTTAAGCTATTCAGATTACACAAAAACTAACATAAATATAAATTTGAAAATTTAATTCATTAAATTAATTGCATTTAATCAGTAATTTTAATTATGATAAATATAAGAATAAAAGAAAATTAAATGCTATTTAAAAACTACATAATTAATTTTAATGATAATTTTTATGATGACTCTTATTTGTTTGTAAAATAAACTGTAAAGTATAATGAAAAATAAATTCAATAATCAGCTTAAATCTGTATCATGTTTTGCTCTAGTTTACATTATTCTTTAGTTCTGTATACTGTATAAATTCTATATATTCTTCATATTGGTTAAGTGCAGTAGCGTAACCAAAGGGATCTCAGGGAGCCCTGGTCCTCTTCATAAATAAATGAAAAAATATCAATCAAGTGCAAAAATATTTGAATTTGATAAAACCACTTATACACATGTGTCTACGTACACTACCGTAAATATCTAAGTGTTTACTGTTCATACACAGAGATTCATTAAATATCTTAGTATGGATAATCATTACTATGTCTTATTGATTCAAATAAGAGATCCATATTTTTCTATATTAATCATTAAATTCTAAGAGTTTAATATCAAATACATTCTATGAATAATCATTATTTAATGGAAATTTTTATTATATATTTAAAATTTTATATAAAATCAATTTATTTCTATTTTTAATTAGAACGATTCACTTGTATTGCAAATATTTCAGATATAAAAATTCGAAAATAATTTAAAATTTCTATTTAACATTAATAAAATAAAATAAATTATATATTTAACTTTAAATATAAATTTTTAAGCAGCTAATGAATTTAATGCACCTTAATCTAAATTTATATGCTTACAGACAACAACAACTAGGCATATCGTAATTCTATAAGCATTATATTATTATTTCCATATATTTGTGTTAAATATATTTATTTAATTGTATAATTAATAAAAGATTAATAAGACGTACGTTATCTTCTCAATAACATTAGTTTTGTTATATTTCATGATCAGATTATATGGGTCATCAACCTTCCAGCTATTTGTATTCGAGCAGAATGATTGCTTGGCTCTTCTCTGTAGTAGAATTAACGTTGTTCCGTATATGACAAATTATAAAGCTAACCATTGATGACAGCTATTGTCAGAAGGTGTCAGTACCAATCAAACTATGAATAGTTGGAGTTAGAGACATTGTAGTTGTCCTCGGGGATTACAGTTATTTGCTTTATTAGATATGAATTAACATAAGCTTTTAAATGACTCCTAAAACACGTTGTACTTGGGATTATTCGTTAACTCGAAAATGAAATTTACCATATCGATGTAAAATTTTTGATAAATTATAATTTACAGCTATTTGATATAATGCGATTTACATTCATTTTTCTCGAAAATAAAATTATTTCCACCAGTAATTTTTTTTCCTACTTAAAAGAATACAAATTATATTTTACTAATCCTAAATCTAAACGAAAAACATTTCCTTATACATTTCAAGAAAATCGGATTTAAATAAAAAATTTGACAGTTTTGATATCATCAGGAAATCAATTGTCTTATTAAAAAGATTGATGATATTCCTAAAAGTTTTATAACAATTATTATACAAATTAATTCTTTCTAAGAAATAGATTTATCAATATTTTGAGATATATATATATTTAAATAAAATCGTTTTATTTATTTTAATTCTTTAAAGGAAATCTATATAAAAAATTTCAGAAAAAAATGATAAATAATTGTATACAGTTTTAACATCTTTAATTTAAATTTGTACATATATTTTATTTTATTTTTATTATTAAAACTATATAAAAGTTATTAATATATCTTTATTAATGCGCGTAAATTAAAATGCAAAATAGTTAATGTTAAGCAAATATGTTTTTTTTTTCAAAAATATAAAAAAAATATTCGAAATTTAATACGTTTTGAAATTATAAATTAATTAGAATTTTTTTATATTTTTAAAAATAAAGTTATAAAACGAAAAAAACAGCAAACTTTGATAAAAGTTAGGAAGAAAGTTTTTTTTTATTTATTTATTTAATAGGAACAGCAGAGAGATTTTTGAGAATCCCGAATGATTTATTTTTTTCGGTTTCCAATATTATAATATGATATCTGTAAGGATACTTCAGAAATAAAACAAGTACTGGTCTCAATTTGCATTGTCTGGATGGTATAGACTTTTTTTTTTATCGGAAAAAATTTCAGGCGCGTGCATCCAACAGATGAAGTCACCTAGTACGAATCGATAGGAACATTCCTAGCAGTCGAGGAGCCGTGAAGAAAAACGGTAAGCTTGAGGCTGCTAAGGTGGCAGCACTAGTGTCAAGACATACCACCCGCAAACATCCGCAATTGGCGAAGCAGAGAGATAGGCCGAAGCCATAGAGAGAAGAGGCTGGCAGTGTACGTTACCTCTGCCATTTCTCGGCCGATTTAGGGCTTACTGCCGATATAAAAGCGTTACCTCTTGCAGTAGGTCCTTTAGTACTCTTTCATGCGTCATTTGCGCATTTCCGGCCAAGGTAAGTCCTTTACTTGAGTTTACAATTAATTCTAATAGGATAAACGAAAGTGGAGATTTACGATTTAGAAAAGGTTCGAGTCTTGTCTTGTAACGATAGTGGCGTGGTCAGAGAATATAGCCAAGTGGGCGGTAAATGGAAGTACCTGTAACGTTGTCGTATTAAGTGGTAGAGATACTACAGCGCCGCCTTTATGGCCTCTGTTTTCTCTGCGCAATGTACAGGTTCAATAAGGTACAACCTTATAACAGATCTCAAACAGAATATCCTATACAAGAGAAATCATTCTGAAATTTATTCCAGACGATGTAATGTGCTGTCGAGAAAATAATAATAAAAAAAAATATATGGAGATAATTCTACAATAAAAATGTTATCAGTTATCTCGTTGAATTAACGAAAGAGCTTGATAGATTACACAGGGTCAAAGATGGATTGTAATATTAAAATTCGAAAATAAATTGTGATTAATTAAAATTTTGACAACATACAAACAAATAAAACTATCGTTATTCCAATCTTAGAATATATCTAGATATTCTTTCTTCATTAATTCATCATTAAATTAATACAAATATATAATTCTTATTAGCTTTTCAAACTGGTTATAGGGCGAAAATGGGAAAATGAACAAAATCCATCAATGGATTATAACTTTTTCAATTTTAAGTAATAATCTAAATGAAAGACTATTCATCATAAATGTTATCTAAGCTTATAAATTCTATTTTTATTATAATAGAGATTACTTATGCAATCACATAAGTCTTTGCTAAAAATTTTTTTCTTCAATGAATTTCCTTCTATATTCATAACTGCATGCATATAATTATCCTAGTCATAATTTACTAATGTCTTCTTTCTTTTGTTTATCATATAATTTAATTAAACAAGGAACTTTCTTTAAAGATTGAGATGTGAATTTTTTTCAAGTTTTTAGAAAATATTATAGTTAAAATAGGTAAAATTTCACAAAATTTTATTTAAATAACCAATAACTGATTTTCAAAAGTTTTTCTTTTTATACTTTGATTTGAATTTGACAGTAGCTTTCAAAATTTTCTTACGAAAAAAAACGGTGTCTTTAGGAATGTGAACTTTAAAAAATAATTTTAAGTTTAATTTTTAACTGATTAAAAATTACAAAAAAGGGAAGAAATAATATTAATAATTAAAAATTCTTAATATATTAATAGGAAGTTCATATTTCTAAATTTTCCTTTTAAAATTATAAAGCTATTTTTGTTTATTTGTTTAAATTTACGATAGATTTAGGATCACTTAGTATATTTTAAGTCTTCTTTGATAAAATTAATTAAATGGTCATTATAAATAAATGTTATTCAAAATAAAATAATATAAGCCTTTATACTTTCTTTAAAATCAGGTTTATATTAAAATATAGGTCATATTTATTCATAAAAAAATAATAATTACAACACAGTCATAATTATGTTTATAAATCATTAAAATTTGCTACAGTGTATTCTATTGACTTAATTTAATTAAAATATTAAATTTTAATTAATTTAAGTTAGAATTCTAATAGCAGATTTTCTATTTTTCTTTCAGAAATAATATAAAAATATTGCTTAAACAATATCATGATTATTAGAGATCATATAAAATAAGTTATGTTTATGTTGCTTTTTGTAACATAGCAATGACCTGCATTATATATAGAAAAATAAGCAATAGCTTTCCGAAGAATATAGCTTTGGAGAAACATTCTGGAAACAGATGATCACTTATACAGATTCTATCTTACTTTATATTTTTATTTAAAGTAAATATGTTATACTCAAAGACAACTCGAATTTATATTGTATTGTAGAATATATTTTTAAAATTTTTATACATAGATTTATTTTTTTTTAAATAATAAATTTTAAATTAGAAAAAAATAAATAAATGAAATAAAATTAATTTAAAAATCTAGCAGAACAGAAGAAAGAAAAGTAATTAAGAGAAAAATAAAATTTTTTTAACCACTTTGTAGGTTCACTGTGTTTATTTTACTTAAGTTTCATGATGTGTCATTGGATAGAATATCAACAGTGAAGAGTTTAACTATCTTTTAGATCGGTTGAAATTTTTCTTTTAAAGATATTGGATGTTCTCGTTTACTTCTATGTTTATCTTTCGAAGAAAGTACAAATCGTCTTTGAAAGGATTGTGAAAAGCAGTGAACTCATTCATAAGATTGCTAAATTTTGCATAATTTAATAGAATTCAATCAACATACTTTTAAGATCTCTCTCTATATATATAATATTTGCACAAAATAATATAATTTATAAGTATAATAGGTATATATTTTGATTTAATTATTAAAATAGAATATAATATTTAATAAAAATAAATGCATAAAGATGGAGGAAAATAGCTAACATAATGATAATTATCAGAAAATTAATTCTGCCTAATTGTTATAAATTATAAATTAATTGTCTGCCATTTAATATTATCGACAATATGTTTAAAACAAAATAAATCGAATAATTGAATGATAAATTTAATAACAATAACTATAGAAACGAATTTAATGTTATGAGAATAAAACATTTTATCGACAACAGCAGAATTAGACAATTTACTTTATATTTTCTTTATTTTTTCCCCCCGAAAAGAAATCATTGGAGTTATTCGGAAGTCGCTTAAAATCGATTTGTCATTGGAACATTTGAACTGCCAGAAGCATGCTTACCTTTCAGAGCTCAGATCAAAGGTTAAACGAGCCGACCGTATAGGGCACAGTCCTTACGTAAACACCGACGGTTCCTGACATGTTTGTCCGGCAACTGTTCTAATTAACTGAGAAGAGAATTTAACGAAACACTAACAGAAATCTCTTTCAATGAAATCTCTTTAATTTACCTTCTTGAATTTCCTAATCCAGTCCAATGAAAACTTTCTTTTTCACACCGATACCAATGAATGAGATGGGTGTTGCATAATAAAAGCAAACAAACACAGTTGCTTTTAGAAGTGTTTCCTTCATGATATTACTCTGAAAGTGTGACTTTAAACATATTCACCGCTGTTTGGTAACGATTAAATGTTGATATTACAAACCGATTACTGAAAAATTATATATTTTGACATAAATTTCAGCACTTGTATTTTTATGTAATTATCTAATTAGATGAAATGTTCAAAATTAATTAACATTTAAAGTGATTATGTATTTTTTTGAATATTATTCTTTTTATTTATGTATAGTGTAATAATTTTTATAGTTATGATTTCGGGACAGTGATCTCTAGTCCACAAGGATCTTACTGATTTTATTCGAAAATAAGTAAATAAATGTATATATTTTTATATTTATTATGTTTAGTGTTTTGTAAACCATTTGAAATTTCATAACACGAAATTGAAATGAAATGATCCTTCACATATTTGATTTTCACACAGATTTTACTTATGTTTCCAACATTCAACTGAATCATGAGTAAGGTTTATTTTATTATATCAAATATATATAATATATTTGACTTTTGGTTTACGTGAATATTGCGGTAATACTTGAATGATACATATAATACTTTAATGTAAGCAATACAATTGAAAAAATACAAAAACGATCGTTATTGTAACTTCCATAATCCATGTTATACCTTAAAAACTCTACTTTTATAAAAATTTCGAAAATATCCATTTAGAAGCGCATCGTTGTAAGTATTTACTTTTAATAAACAATGTCTATGCACTGTTATATATTTATACATAAATTGAAAACAGATATTTACCATCATTTTATACATTAAATACTTTTTACCTATCTTATCGAAAGGATTAAGTTTATAAAAACCATTTTTTATTCTGGAATAGCGATTTAGAATTTTGACGGAACACCAATTTGGTAAAATTTTCTTGTGTCCAAAAAGTTTCGTCGAGACTTGCTAAGCCAAGCGTAGAAAAAAGGCTCACAAAATTTTTACGTCGTCGCTTGATGATCGGATTTATGAACGGTAAAGACAATAGTAAGTGGTCGTCAGATGGCCCTAAGGATCAGTAAATCATTTCTTCCGCTTTGTTTGATATAGGTTCAGATTGAAAGATTACCCATTACCTTCGATGCATTATGAAAACAGATTTAAAGCTAAAAACTGCTGAAATGAAAATATAGAAAAATCCAATTATAAAGCAATGGTTAAATTTTCAGAACTTTTCTAATTAACCGAACTGCTTAATGATTAATGAAATTTTTATTTTTAGGCTAGTGTATTGTTAAAACATAAAAAGCGTTTGGAAAATATTTTGAAGAAAAAGATTTCTGCAGTAGATAACTTAGAAAGCCTTCTTAGTAAGCTTCAAGAATCAAAATCAGAAAAAGCGGTAAGTTGTTTTCAAGAAATTTACTTTTTTTATTCATGTATAAATACATTTATACACATTATTATTATAAATCACTGCAAGGGGTTCTCAAATTATATAAGGTTATATTCTAAGAATGATGCATATTAAATTGCATAATTTGAACAAAATTTTATCATTTAAACTATTGATAAATGCCATATATGCATTATGTGTCTTTGAATTTAACTCATCTAACTATAGTGTGAGTAGCAGGGGGCCACTGGGTGAACCCTAATGACCACTTAATCTGCATGGGTTGGAAAGACCCGTTCTCGGTTGTCGGATGGCCTAGGAGGGCTAAAAATATGAGTGGGGAGAAGTCGGAAGTCGTGACCAGGTGTCCAATTGACTACACAGGTTTAAATAGACAACACATTTAATAAACAGATGAGAAATTATACATAAAGATAATAAATATAACACTCGCATATTAAGATATAAATAGGTATTCTAAAATCTATCCTAACCTAACCTAATGCTNAAGATATCTAAAGTTTTAAGTGTTATATTAATTATGTACATTTTTAAAATTTAAATCTTAAAAAATAATACGCCAATAAGGTTATTTCTACAATAATTTTTTACCAGAAACCTTTTCTATAATATTTTTATCAAGCAATTAATGCAGGCAATACTTC